AAAAGAGGTATATCATTGAGAATTAGTTCAACTACATTTAACTTTATAGAGTACAAATCTTTGCCAAGAGACAGCTGGCCGGCTCATGCATAGAAATATCATGTTAATCAACCATTGGGCCTGGAGGAGAAGTTGAATTCTTGGCAAAGAGTTGCCCCTTGAGCTGTCTAAACTCGAGCTCTAGTTTTGGGGCTCTTTCCCCCTCATTCATTCATTTTGATTTGACATCTTTATGAGGGACTCCACCCAGCAGGTGTTCAGAAAAGTGTGAAAGGGCAATTTTTCACCTCTCAAGAGGGTTGAAGGGTACATTGTTTAGACCTGGATCTCTTCCAGTCTGTATGAAATGTCCTAGGCAGCCAAAAGATACTCCCAGGTTACAGGTTTTAGGAACTGCTAACAGTGGGGCAGGAATTTTCTTCTTTCTGTCGTTTTTTTAAGTGTCTCTACAGAAATGATTATTATGTCTGTGGATACTTTTACATATTGGCTGCAGCTTTTGTGCTGCTTTTCCTGGGGTGTGTTTTCAATAGCGGCATTCATCAGCTTTTACAGGATTCCCTGAAAACCCTTGCAGAAGCCTTCCCCAAGGGGAGCCATGCCATTTCTTTCACTTTTTGGAGGAAATCCCCTTACAAGTCTTGGCAGTCTGGTTGTGTGGCTTTCTGTGATTTTCCTCAGTGTATAGGGGATGATATTTTAACCAACCGAGCTACCTGGCCAGGGCTTGTGATTTAGTGGTCATTTTTATCTGTATCCCAGGAGCAGTTTCAGGATGCAGGAGTACCTGGGGCAACTTTGTAGTCACAAATCTACTCCCTACATGGAAGAGCTCTCCGAGACAGCCCACAACCAAATCTCCCAATCTCCTTGGGAGACACAGGAAGTCCTGCTTATGATCCATGTGGTCTCAGGTAAGCACACCCAGTCAGGATGTCATTACATGCCCCCGTCCCCATACCTTGTGTTGGTTTGTTTGCACACAGGGGAAGTAAAGGTGATCTGTATTTTCTCCCTAGGCCTGTGTAGGATTGTTCCACCTGAAGGCTGGGGTGTTTTCTACTTCTGTGGTGCTGGCTGAGAGTATGAGCAGTGGCCTATAGCAGAAGGATCGCATCAGGCCTTTGCCCACCCCCTCTTGACATACACCTTGAATCCTGCTTTACAGAGAAGACTGAGCCATCAGTCATGAGCTTGACAATGTCTTCCCTAACACCTTCAATCCCATCCCCAGTGATGACCATGCTCACCTTCATCAGTCTTTTCTTAGGGGGAGGGGAAGTCTTGATGCAGTTCAAGGCCAAATCATTCTCTTATTATCTGGATCCTGTCCTCTTCCACCTCCTCAAGACTTTGCTTCATCAGTCATTCCCTCTCTCCTATATTTTCAAATGCCTGCATTCTTTAAAAGTAAAAAGAGGAGGCAGTCTAACTTTGGGCTGAGGATCCTATGTCTGTGTCCATTTTTAGTCAAGTTCCAAGAATCTTCTATACACAGTATCTCACCTCCTGTTGGCTTCAATCCACCACAGATAGGCTGTTATTGGACACGGACCTGCCCGAGCAGGTCTGCCTTAAGCCGGCCTGTGGTGTGTGGGTTTTGACTTCCTGTAGGAAAGATTTCACAATACGAGTCCAGATGGCTTTGAGGGTGTGTTTATTAATGTTGGGGACAGCTACACAAAGGAAGAAATTAGGGGAGTAGAAACAACACGGGGGAGCTAGGCGGTGCTCTCTTTGGCTCCCTACAAATGTTATAGGAAAGAATGTGCCAAGGCGGGGCTGCTGTTAGCTCACTGGGGAGTGAAGGCCACAGTGATAGAAGTGAGCCTGGGCGAGGCTGCTTTAGCTCACTGGGAAGACAGAGAAAAAGGGGGCCTTGGAGATAGGATCGGGGCTGAGCCCAGGTCAAGCTGCTGCTGGCCACTGCTCCTCTGACTGGGGACCCTTAGAATTTAGAATCTCCTGGGGACCCTTAGAATTTAGGAAGAAGTGAAAGGTTCACGACCAGGAAGGGATATGGGCATGCTCTAGAGCAGTGGTTCCCAACCTTCCTAATGCTGCGACCCTTTAATACAGTTCCTCATGTTGTGGTGACCCCCAATTTCATTGTTACAAATTGAACACAATTAAAGCATAGTGATTAATCACAAAAACAGTATGTAATTATATATGTGTTTTCCGATGGTCTTAGGCGACCCCTGTGAAAGGGTCGTTCGACCCCCAGAGGGGTCGCGACCCACAGGTTGAGAACCGCTGAGAGTGAGCCCGCCTTGAGTCTTTGAGTCTTTGTCCTGAGGACTTTTTAGCCTTTTTTTTTTTTTTCCCCCCTGCAGGCAAGAATCTTAGGGGAGGGCTTCAGTAGAATAGTCATCAGCTTTCCAGGTACATTTTTAATATGCTGATGCATCAAAATAAATGTATAGGGAAGTTTTCGGTTATTCTTTGTTCTGTTCTACTATTTCACTTTTACCTTAGGTCTGTCTGGCTTAAAGTGGGGTTTTTGTTATTTTTTCCCCACAACTTCATCTGTCCTTGGGATTAGCTGGCACAAGTGACATTAATTGGGTCTTTGTTCTCTATTTTCCCAGGGCAGGGTGATTTAAGCTATGGATTCTCTGCTTAGAGAGGAGAGATATTAACAGTTTGCCATCAAGTGTCTTTGGTTGGGGAAGATAAGGCGTTACAAGTCACGAGCTGGCTGCAAATTGTTTGGCCTTGCTTAATTTTCTTGTGTTTCCTCATTCCACTTGCCCAGGGATTTTCCCAGCTTCTTACTACCCTGCTACATGGCAACGGCCTCCATCTTGCCCTGAAATTGCTCTGAGGCAAAGACCTTCTCCTCATCAAATTAAGCCACATTCCTCTCGTGGCTTTTCTGTGTCATCTAATAACCTAGCCACTGCATTCTCCTTGAAACTCTCCTGGCTTCAGTGTTACCAGTTTCTCTATGTACATCCCTGACGGAAAGTTTGGCCTCATTTGTGCTCTTCTTTCTTTGCTGCCTTTTGAATGGTGGTTCCCCCACCCCCAGATTCTCTTTTCGCTCCTTTTATTTTCTCAAGTCCACGCTCTCCCCAGATGTTGCCATCTACACCTATTGCCTTTACTATTATCCATACACTGATGACCTCTCTTCTGAGGGCCTGGGGCTGTTTAGATGTTTCAAAGGCACCTCAAACTCAAAATATTCCAGTCTTATTTGCTTCTTTCTTACACTGGCTCTGCCTCCTGTGGGCCCTCACTCAGCCTCCCAAGCTGGACACCCAGCTCCCTTTACTCAGCAGCCCCTCATCATCATGCACTTAAGTCACTGGCAAATTTAGCTTCTTTGTAGTTTGCGAATCCGCTTTCTTTGTTACCTAAGGCTTCACAGGTTGCTGTGAAAAATTAAGTGACATGCCACATAATTAATGTGCCTAGTACCTGATAAAAATCTTAATTGAATTCAAAGCTGAGAAAGCAGCATTTCCAGGCTCTTATATTGTTTGGCCTGTATAGACCATTGGGAATTAGAATTTCCTCTTTTAAGTCATTAAGTCTAGTGATTCACACACCACACTGAAATAGCAAGTCACCAGATGCAGTCTGCTGTCGTGAAAGATTTAGGCCACTGGGAGGCTCCAGGAATCAGAGGATTGTTCTGACTTTGGAATCCTCAAGTGACTCCTAATGTAATTTAGGTTTCCGTTGGATACAGTTGAAGCAAGGACCTGAAATCTATGAGGTTCTTTTTGTGTGTTTTTAAAGAGCTCCCACTGCACTGATATAAAATGCCTTCTCCCTGCGGAATCTCCCTTTTCTGGGACTTGCATGCTGGGTAGATGTAAACTATAACGGCAACTTCCTATTTTCCCCCTTCTGTAATCCTTTCCTCCTTGTGAGGAGAGGAGCTATTGTAAACCCAAATTCTATTTTGTTGAGCATTCAGCTATGTAAAGCTGTAATAATGAACAGTTCTCCGTGATGGTCTCAAATGTGTTGCGAATTAACCATCACATATTTATAACGCAATGAACGTGGTCGCATTAGTATAACAGAAACCCAGCTCTGCTCTCTTAGACTACAGTACAGTTGTCGGCTCCTGTAACAGGCAGGCCTTTCTCTCAGGCCAGTCATCCATGTCCCCCCTCTGCAGAGCAATGACTGTGGTCTGGGGAATGCCCTGTCCTCCCTGGCTGTGAAGAGGGTGGTTTTAAACTGGGCATGAGCCACTGTGCCCGGGTGATGACCTCCCCTGAGGTGGATGGGCTGCTTAATAAAATGGTGGGCACCTGAGCAGAAAACTGTCATTCTCTCAGAAGGCAGAAAGATACAGGCAGCCAACAAATATCCATTGCATGAAGCATAATTGAATGTTTAAAAAATGGAAGAGGGAATAAAGAAGGAAGTAAAGGGGTTGCAGGAATATTCTTGGTCTGTCATAAACAGGGAGATAGGGAACTTTCCAGTTATTCATACTAGTCCATTCCAATTGCTGAAGAGATCCAGGCTCCTGATAACTGATAGATGAGCCGGAGGGATTTGAGAAGACAGTAAGTTATGAACCAAGCCAATATATGAGAAAGAAGCTGCTGAGGGAAGAATTTCTGATTCCTGGCAACTTTGATAGTCAGGCCTCCTCAGTGAACCGCTTGGCAACTATCTGGTGATGTCACTTGAAAGAACTAAACTGTCTCTCTGCCCCAAACCGTCCTTTCCCTTTGCCTTTTCCAAGATAGCAAAAATCTCTGCATTGATCAAGGTTCCCGATTCTACTCCTGGTCTTCTGTGGAGCTGGTTTGAAGGGCCTTCCGTTGATGGGACAGCTGCCCCAGTGACCCTATTTGACCCTTAATACCTATCTACATTGTTCTTTGGAAGAGACAGCCAGGTAGGTGAGGAACAATTTCCCCATAGTCTTCTTTTTTAAAAAAATATGTATTTATTAAATGGATTGGGGTGACGTTGGTCAACATGAACCCCACAGTCTTCTAAAATCCAAAAAAGTGGAATTTCAGTGGTTATTGATGTCATTTATTCATTAATATATTTTAGATATTTATCATATCCTAGCCTCTCATTTTACAAAGAGAGAGAGAGAGAGAGAGAGAGAGAGAGAGAGAGAGAGATTATATACATTACCGAAAATGAGCCACTAGTCAGCATTAGCTGAAGCCACTAGAAAGAGAACTAGCCCTTCTCTCCAGCCCCCTGAGTTCCAGGTGAGGTCTGTCAGTACTATATCACTTACAGCAGTTTTAACTGATGGTGCCACACTAGCTGTAACTTTTACTTTTAATTTGACTTCTCTGCAGAATCCAGTAGATTCTGGACTGCCCTATAGGTCGCCCTTCCATGCTGAGGTCTGGTGAAGATTATTGCTTATTTAATCCAGTACATTTTGAATTTTTAATATGTACTGGTCACAGATAAAATATACTTCGTCATGTTTTTAGAGGATAAAAATGATAGTAAAAATTCTAACTGAATGAGCTTTGAAAGTATTCTCGAAGAACATTATTTACCTCTCATTTTAGTGATTTCCTGGCCTTGCCATCAGTAATATTTCACAAGAAATGGAAAGAATTTGGTTAATGCCAGCTACCTAAAAATTAAATATATTAAGTGAATTATAATTAAATGCTATTTTTAAGTGTTTCAGAATTAGCATTCAAATAAATAGGTTTGCTTTGTTGATTACAAATTAAGAGTAGTTTCAGGAAGCTTAAGCTATAAACCAAGCCCATATATGAGAAAATCACATCCATCATTTTTCAAAAATATGAAAGATTGCTACAAATAGAACTGTTTCTATAGAGAATACAATGTACAGTATCTAGAAACTATATATAGTGGACTCTATGTTTTATCATTTCATTCATTTTTTTCCAATGAGAAGAGATAAATATACCAGCTGTCTAGGTATTTTTTTTTCTGTTACCATAAATAATGAAACGAATAGACTGGACTGAGTAATATGTGCAATTCAGGCTTGCTATCTTATAAGGAGCTATTTGTATATGAAACTTTGACATGAGATTGAAAATGTGTGGTTTAAAAGCAAAAGAAAAAAACAACAGCTTTATATCCTAGTGTACTGCATTTCAAATTTCGGGCTAATTTATAATGCTCTTAAAGCCCATTCTATTAAGCAATTCAAAATTTCAATGGCTGTCTGTGTTTAGCTAATATTAGCTCCTCCACTAATCAGCCTGTGACATTTTGCATGCTATTCTTCATTTTTTCCGTCTGTATTTTTTCTCATCTAGCTTTTTCAGGAATGTTATTCCTATTTCTGTCACACTGTCGCCTTTTAGTCTGTCTTGCAAGAATGTAACATCAGCAGCCAAATGAACCTAGGAAAGAAAAGAAAAAAAGGCTTTCGTCATTTACGTGTTTTTAAATGTTTAATAATTGAGTTATAATTTATTTATTTATTTAATATATTTTATTGATTTTTTACAGAGAGGAAGGGAGAGGGATAGAGAGTTAGAAACATCGATCAACTGCCTCCTGCACACCCCCTACTGGGGATGTGTCCGCAACCAAGGTACATGCCCTTGACCGGAGTTGAACCTGGGACCCTTTGGTCCTCAGGCCGACACTCCATCCACTGAGCCAAACCGGTCAGGGCTCATTTACGTTTTTTAAGAAACAACAACCTCACTACATTTTTCTGTCTCTTTTTTTCAGCTTTATTTACCCCATAAGAGCTGACTTTGCTTTTGGAAAGATAAAAAGGAGCTACCTCTGTGGATGAAGGGCCCTTTACTGTGTGTCTTTCAAAAATGGTCTGGCTGTGTGTGAGCTCTGTGATATGCATCTGCAAAGAGATGGGCGGTCTAGGCCAGGCCAAACCTGGGTGATTCTGGGGCAAGCCCAGAAACGGGGACCCTTGCCAAGTTTTGTTCACAGGGCTGAATTATGAATCCATCTCAAAAAGAACACCGATTCTCAGCTCAAGGATAGCCTTGATCCAATGTGCCTCACAAGCAGAACTTCCAAGGATAAATGAATTCATAAACGATTCCTCTCCAACTGACTTGCCATATATCATTCTGTCCTAGCTAAATAGCATAATCATAACATAATAAGTATTGTTCTAACAATACTTAGGACTCACTTATGGCTTTGAGAGGTTTAAAAAAAGTATAGACTAAATAAATCATGACTATAAAATTAAAGATTGAAATTACAGACATGAATATTTGATACCAAGGCCTTCTTTTCCTCTGTAAGGCATAGCTCATTTCCCAGACATTGACGTGAGCCCCAAAGGCTGACTTCTCTATTCATTAAAACATATTCACATAAGAGCAGCATGGTATTGCTGACCTACCCTCAATAAAATACCATTCAGCTATTTTAAGTCATTGGGGTAAAGAAAATAAATAAGTGAAAGTACCTAATAAAAGCAAATACGTGGAAAAGCCTGAGCCTAGTAATGAATTAATTAGTATTAGTTAATTACAATCTTACCAGACTCATTTCCCTCTCTCACTAAGAATTCCTTGGCCAACCAGCCTGGATTTGTTAAACCATAGACCTTGGTAGGCCAAGTTCTTTGACCCATACAGTGCACAAAAACTATGCCTCTGTGATGCCCAGCACCCAATAGAAGGCTATAGACTGCACTTGGAAATACAGAAGATAAATTCACCCGCATTTTTTTCCATATAAGATCTTTTTCTGTCTTTGTAAAAATTTGACAGAAAATTAAATAAAATAACAGGGAGACTACACTGATGCTATTTGAATATTTGGGGCCACATGCTGTCTGATGCCTATGTGTCTATCATTCAGCATATATAGTCAACTATTATCCATGAAAGATGGAGACTTCTCTATCTTGCTTTTGACTCAGTTTTATGGTTCAACCCATTAACTCCCAGAATTCTTTGTTTCCCCTTTCTTGATTTCATGGACATTGATTGTAGGGCAAGCTTTAAAAAATGGTAGGTAGGCCTGTGGAAGATCTGTGTGACTGATACGTTATTTCTGTTGTTTTACACTTTTGGACTGCCTGTTATTATGTCCTTCCCCTAATTATCACAAATAATTGAAAATTATATTCATGCTTCATTATTGGGTAGGTCAACACATATCTAGACTTGGGCCACTACCTGGTCTCACTATTCTAAATAGCTAAGCTTCTGGAAAAAGGAGACTGTTGATTACTACCTCTGCCTAAGCTCCCGTGGCTCATCAGTCTTGGACAGAGTGTCTTCTTCTCCCTTCACTTTCCCAAAACAGCTTTTACCAAGTCCTTCCTGACCTTTTGGTCCCTAAATGTTGTGAATATTTTTCAGGTCTTGTTTTTCTTAGCCTCTGCTGCACCGGGTCTTGCTAATCACTTCCTTTTCTTGAAATACTCCCCTCTCTTGTTTCTTCGACTCCATTCCTTCCTGGTATTTTTCTAAGCTCTGGTTGCTCCTTCTCGGTATCCTTTGCAGCCTTTGTATTCTCTTGCCTAGCTTACTCACTATGTTTTGTCGCCTCCTAGGGTTCCAACTGTGGCTCTCTCTCTCTCTTTTTTTTTACACTCTATCTACACAGTGTTAAAAGAAGCACAGAGTTCCAGTGTTTCTTCAGTCCACATCTCTGTGACTTGCAGGCATGTGTAACAGCTGCTGAGCGATATCATCACTGGTGTGTATAGACACCTCAATCCCAGCAGCTGCCCAATTAAACTCCTCATTTTGTCTCTCCCATCCCCAAATGAACATCTCCTGGTTTTTCTCTCTTGATTAATAGCACAACCATCACTATAGGTTGCTCAGAAACCTGAAAATAGCCCTAGTTGGATTGGCTCAGTGGATAGAGCCTCGGCCTACAGACTGAAGGGTCCCGGGTTTGATTCCATTCAAGGGCACATGTCTGGATGTGCCCGGGTTGCGGACTCCATCCCCAGTGGGGGATGTGCAGGAGGCAGCCAATCAATGATTCTCTCTCATCATTGATGATTCTATCTCTCTCTCCCTCTCCCTTCCTCTCTGAAATCAATAAAAATATATTATAAATTAAAAAAGAAACTAAAAATAATCCCGGAGTCTTTTCTCAACCTTGTCCCTTTAGTCAACTGATTACCTAATCTTAAACCTGTTCTACCTTCTTAGTGTTGTTGGCATCACCCTCTCTCCTCTCTTCCTGTCAGGGCTTTCTCTGGTTTTTCTCAAGGTTCCCACCATCAACTTCCGAACTGCCCTCCTCCTCCCTCCAGCATTGTCCCCTCCTGTACACTTTCACTTTGTGGACAAAGGAATGAAATTCCTAAAATACAAATTTGAAAATATCATCCCCCTGTTTATAAACCTACAGCGGGTCTCTTCTCTTTTCAATACAAAAATCAAATTCCCAACTTGTCCTATAAATGCCTTTTTTTTTTTTTTTTTAAATCAGGCCTCTGTAAAGAATTTAAATCTCCTTCTTCATAACAATTCCTCTCTCAACCTACATGTCATTCATGGGAAACGAATTCAAGTTCCTCGTTCCTTGACGGGAACACCTTTTTGTGCCTTTGGACAAGCTGCTCCTTTCCCCCTGCTCCCCAAGGTTCTCACCTCACCAAACTCCCATTTATCCTTCAAATGCCAGAGCACAGTTTTTCTAGGAAGTCGTCCCTGACCTTCCATCCACCCCCACCCAGGTCCTCCCATAGCCCTTAGTCACACTTAACATATCTGCTTTCTCTACAGGACAGAAGATTCTTGAAGGACAGCAACTTTGTCTTGTTCCTCTTTGTAAGTTCAGTGCCTGACTCTTAGCAGATGCTAATCATTGTCTTAGTTAAATCGATGGATAATTCAGGTGTGGAAGCCAGCCTCCAGAATAGCCTGCAATGATCCCTGGCCTCCTGTTATTCACGCCCTCACGTAGTCCCCTCCCACTTTGCACCAGGGTTGGCAGCTCCTGTTGTGATGAGATCTCCAGAGAGGCCTATTTGGCAAAGAACTTCATGAAGCCTCTAGCCAAGTTTTAGCAAGGCCATGAGTGGGCTTGGAAGTAGATTCTTCAGCTGAGACTGCAGCTCCACCAACAGCTTGATGGCATGTGTATTCAGCTGAGAAAAGCTCTGAACCACAACCACCTGCTAAGCTGATCCCAGATTTCTGATCCTTAGAAACCGTGTAAGACAATAAACATTTGTTTTACGCCGCTGTTCTCTGGGGCAATTTGTTACACAGCACTAGATAACAAATGTACCCGCAAAATGAAGCAGGAGTTTACCATTTCCAGGGCACCTCTGATAATCCCACAGAGTAAGTTGCAGTAGCATAGAGACGACCGCCCGGCAGGGAGCTCTTCCACAAACTCCACCAGTGGATTCTTGTCCAGAATCAGGGAAAATTCATTTCTGCTTGAATTATTACAGGTTACACTTGGTGTAATTCCCAAGTACATCTTGAAAGCCACCTAACAAAGAGGGGGGGGGGAGGTAATTATGAAAACTTGGTCTAGGACAAATGTCTATAAATAGGGCACCCAAATACCCTGTTCTAGGCAGTGCTATGTAAGGGAGAAGCGCATGGAGTTTGCAGTCAGGAAGTCCGGGCTCACACTTAGCTTTGGAGTGTACTGAACGTATGACTAATGCAAGTCTTAAATCCTTTTATTTTTATGAAACATCTTAAGGGACTAGATCTTAAAACAAAAATCTTTAAAAGTAAACATCCTTTAGGAAGGTGGGAAATTAAAATATGACTAATCATCAACATATTAGTATGATATTTGTCACACTGAGGCTAGTAAAAGATAAGGTATTGAATTAGAAGGAACACATCTGCCCTAACAGGAATTCGATAGAGCGAAGGATGCTACAGGAAGGTTAGACTCAAGGGCATGTTTGGGGAAGTGGAGGGAGTCATATTACTAAGGATGGCAAGTCTCTGACAAGGAACAAAGAGAAGTGGTGAGAGGCACATAAATGAGTCCTAAAGTAACTTCTCAAAAGTCTCCTGTTTTACATGGAAATGGAGGAAACCTTGACGATTATTTCTGTTTCACTTCCATTTTCACAAATGACTAAACCGGAATCCAGAGACGTAAACTGACATGGTCAAGTCTACACCATATCTAGGCTCCTAGTCCACGGCACTTTCTTTTCACAAAGCACACACACCTGGAACTTGAGGCTTATTAATGGGAATGTGTCAGCTTGATAGGTTGTTGTCCTTTAAGTGCCTTAATTAATTTAATTTTAAAATTAAGACCAGTGTAGGAGAGAAATTGATATAATTTCTGTAAATTATTTCTAATTAGAAGTACTTCTAATTAAAGGTTCATTCATTCATTCATTCATTCGTACTCAATGAGCACTGCCTGTCTAGTACAGTGCCTGGCATACAGTAGGAGTTCAATAACTATTTGAAAAAGGAATTATTGAATGAGCATCTCATCTGTTTGACACCATGTTTAGATCCAGAGTACAAGTTAATAAAAAGGGCTACAGATATTAAACAAATAACTGCAAGAGTATAATAAGTCCTGCAAGTACAATGTTATATATAGGGTAGGGCAAAAGTAGGCTTATAGTTGTGAGTATATGAAACACAGACTTTACTCTTGTATTATTATTTATTAATTATTGTATTATTTTCTATATGAACAACTAAACCTACTTTTGCCCCACCTGTATTAAGAAGCAATCCTGGAAATAACCACAGAGGAAGGAACTTCTACCCTGCTCATGAATACTGAGTGAGAGTTTGTCAGGTGAACAAAGAGGGGATGGTGAGGGTGATATTCCAGGTAGAGGGAACGTATCCTGGGCATGAAATGCCATGATAAGACTCACGGGAGGCTGGCATTTATCAGCTTGTAGGCAGTGGGGAGGCTCAAAGTCATGACTAAGCTACGGCAGAATTCAGTTTCTGTTTTATAGGGATCTCCTTTGTGTCAGCATGGTGGGTGGATTTAGGACAGAGGGGATGCTGGGCATGAGGTCAAAGGCAGACATGCCAATCAAAAGATTACTATGATAGCCCAGGAAAGAAATGATGAGGACTTCTCATTTTGTCTTTCATTCAAAACTCAAAGGCTCACTAAAGTTTTCCTATAAATTCCAAGTAGCCCAAATCCTGAAATTTGCTGCACTTCTCTGCCACTAGCCAGCTTGAAAGGATATAAAGTGAATTTCCTGCTCTTAAGTAGCAAGAGAGAAAAAAGCAGCACAAATGTCCAGACTTGGACATTGACTTGGCTCCCAACCAACTGGCTGAAACCCATTTCTGGCAATGCTTTGATTTCTCCGGCTGGAAAATTCCTAGACTATTATTTACATGAGTGAGAATTTCTTTCAGATTCTCAATGCATGGAAATAACATAAAAACGGAGGCTTTGCACTTTGAATTTAATTGCCAGTGTTTTGGCTCTAGTTTCACGGCCCAATACCCACCAGTAGGAGGCATTGTCTAAACACTGTTGGGAAATACTCATTCTTGGGGAATGACATTGTTTCCTTATCTGGCCGAATTCGGTCTGGGAAGGAGGACGGCTGCTTGCAAGGAAGAGCTCCACCCTCAGCCACGGCCACAGCCGCTCTGCCAATAAATAAGGCAAAGCATCTCCCCGCTTTATTTACCTCCAAAATGGATGCTTTCAATGGGATTTTGAAGTTCATCCTGCACCAGAAAACGGTGATTGGCTACAGCTTCATGGCTCTGCTGACCCTGGGAAGCGAGCGGCTCTTTTCCCTCGTGGCGTTCAAGTGCCCCTGCAGCACCGAGAATGTGCTGTACGGGCTGGTTTTCCTTTTTGCTCCCGCCTGGGTTTTACTCATCCTGGGATTCTTCCTGAACAACAGGTCCTGGAGACTCTTCACAGGCTGCTGCGTGAACCCCAGGAAAATCTTCCCCCGGGGCCACGGCGGCCGCTTCTTCTATGTCCTGGGCCAGATCACTCTGAGTTCCTTGGTGGCTCCAATGATGTGGCTGTCGGTGGCTTTGCTCAATGGCACTTTCTATGAATGTGCCATGAGCGGGACAAAAAGTGCAAGACTCCTGGGATTGATTTGCAAGGACAAGCCCAAAGAGTGCTGGGAAGAGCTTCACAAAGTGTCATGTGGCAAAACCAGCATGACGGCCACGGACAGCGAGGAGCTGAAGCTGTCCCTGCAAGCTCAGTCTCAGGTAAAAAAACAAACAAAACAAAAAAAAACTTGGCTTTCCCTCCCAGCTTGAGCTATTTTCTCAGTTCGCCTTCTAGCCAGGGCTGAGTCTGAATCCTGCCAGAACAGTTTGAGACAAAATGGAAATTGGAACAGGATGCAGCGTTAAGACCATCTCGGGAAAAGCTTTTTAGAAGTCGGAGGGGCTCAGTAAAACTGCTGATTGAATTGTCTTTTCCATTTCCGAACAGAACATATCCTCTGGGTTCTGTGTACGTAAATACTTAAGTACTTTAAAACTATCTCTCTGGGTTGACTTTATCAATAATGCATGATACTAACTCATAATTGAGTGTAAGGCCAGAGCTGTAATTAGAAATTACTGCTCTCTATCAATTATTTATTTTCAAATTGGTTTCTCGGGAAAAAAACACACAACAAAACCCACACACATAGCGTTCATCTATTAAAATATAGCTGAACCAAATGAGTTAATACTTTGCAATGTTGCATGCAATATCGTTAAAATCAAGATTCCCTTGAATGATTTCTGGCAACTTCTATCTCTGTGTGTAAATAGTGTCAGGATTGAGAAGAGTTTCCCAGATAACGTAGGAATTGGCCGTCTTTAGCCTCTGGTGAAAAGCGGTCATATTCTCTAGGGAGGTGAGTCCTCCGCTCTTTGTGCTGTACAGCTCAACAAGTCTTACATGACTTTAGAAGCTCACGACTCGGGGCATCGCTTTATGTACCAGAAGGAAATCACAGCTTTCCCTAACTGATGTGGGGAAGTAGCTTGTCATCCTTCCAGGTTCGTGAGCACAAATCCAGATGTGAAGCCTTGCCCTGCCTCAGGAAAGACTGCATTCCTGCTTGTGAGGAGAAGGAATTGCATTCCCCAAACCAACACAAGCAATAAGAGTGGATAAACGGATCCACAACTGGTCAGCAATGCCACTTGTTTTGGAATAAACACGCTGAAAATAGTATAATTTTACTTTTCAACAAGGATTTACACATCAAGGCAAAGAGTGTTTTTGAAATCCTGCATTCCAAAGCTGGCTGGCAGTGTTGTCATATACTTTTCATAAACCGATAAGCCTAAAATCTTTTGTGTAATGCATAAAGTACATCTTAGATAAAAACATGTCAGGCTCCCAGATGTCTTTCTTCTTTTGTTGAAGGAAGGTATTAATTAGGAATGTTATGACACAATGAGTGATTTATGATTTATGTCCCCAGGCACCAGGCTCCATTCAGTTAGTGCCAGATCCAAACACGTATCACCGTGTGAGCTTTTCTTCTCTAAACACACGCACGAGGAAATCATGCACATGCTGTCATAGCTGAACCTGGGCACACCAACCTGTTTTACTTTTCAGCAGAATGAAAAGGACCTGGGGCTGATTCCTGGGGGAGGACGCATGAGGGATGTGATCAAGGCAAGCTGTGTCAATAGCAGGTGCTCACAGTAGCTCAGGTAGTCAGGAGAAACAAACAGTCCAGACTAATAGTTGGGCATGTGGGTGGGGGTGAAAAAAGTGTCCCATCCATAGGCGGGGCAGAGAAACAAGAAACCCAGCTGGGTGATGCTCTTTTCTTAAGGGAGGTAAAGTGTAGTAGTGGAAAGAACTTGACCTTGGAGTTGGCTAGCCTTGGGTTTGAGTCCTGACCCTACCAATCACCAGCTATGTGATCTAGAGCTAGTGATTTGACTTCTCTGAACCCCAGATTCCTCTAGTTGGGGGAATAATACTTGCCCTGCTGGAGGGTATAGAGATAATGGGCATAAGGGGACATAAAGCTTCTGGCACATGATAATTGATGAGAAAACACCCAAGGTTTGAGGGAGGAGACTCATGCAGAATGGGACACTATTGAAGGCTGGGGTGGGATCATGTACCATGTCTAGTTAGGCTGGGTACTATGAGTTGGGGAAGAACAAGAGGGCTCAGTACTCAGGTGAAAGCAAGGTGATGCTAGGGTCATTTCCAAGGAGGGAGGAGGAGGAGAGGGGGAGTTTGAAGCTGACTAAATGGTTTAAAACTCAAGCAGAATTGCCTCAGATATTGAGGTGAGATGGCCTACTGACCTGCAGGAGGCCTTGCTGTAGGGGATGAAGAAAAGAGGAAGTTCTGAGGTATGCAACTGCAAGTCAGGTGAATACGAGGACTTTCACAACATGGTAGTTGTGTCTAATTCATTAATCATGATAGAAAGATACCATGAGTTTAATCATGCATTTACATATACATATACATTTGAAAAATAGCATCCTATATAATAAAAAGGTAATATGCAAATTGCC